AGCAAAATGTTTTGTCTCGTGAGTTTACCACTTCTCTAAAGGCATTTTCCTGGCCTGTACACACACACACACACACACACACACACACACACACACACAAGCATGCACGCACGCACGCACACACTGCCTCCTTTTTATTTTTCAAGTCTTCATTTGGGTGCTTTCTCCTCAGATAATATGTCCTCGGTTCCGCCTTCCCCCAAGCAGGATCCGATGACACAACTTCTCATGGTCTAGCTTCTTAAGTGCTGGGTCACCCATTAAACTGTGATATTTTAGGCAAAGCACTGGGGATCCAATGCCGATCATTTCAGATGTTTTCCTTGACTTCAAAGAACTTTTAGTCTATGGAGGGATGTGGAAAATGAAACCATGGCAATGTGTTCTGTTATGGGACTGTATGGGGATCCACGAGCATCCAAGGCAAGATCGAAAGCCCAATGTGGTGGGTCAGATGAGGAGAGGCATCCAAATTAAGCTCTGAGAGAGAGGTGAGAGTTAACCAGATGTATGTAGAGGGAAACAGAGAATTCCAGGCTAGTGAGAGGCTGGCACTTTTGGGCAACAGATAGTGACGCTTTCAATAGTTTCAGCACTACATTCGTCATGCCTGGGACACACAGGTATGAAATAAACGGGTTTGGGATGAAAGAATTATAAAAGAAGACAGGAAGGAAGGAAGGAAGGAAGGAAGGGTCTTTTCCCCTCCATTAGTCAGACTCCTGTCAATTATTTTCCTTTGTTTTTCTTATTTTTCCTTTTTGTGATGAAGATCTACCTATATAACATTCAGCCCTGTATCCATGAATTTAAGTCAGTGCCACTGTTCTGCCAAGATTCTCTGTTGACATAAATTCTACTCGGGAGGAAGGAGACAGCAGCGAAAATAACTGTTCCTAGCATTTGAGTATTACTGAATTTGTCTCTAATGATCCCACAATCAGAAAGGACAAATGTCTTAAGTTTAAATAACGCCAAGTACATGGTTTCCCTGTGTTTTTTTCTGATTGAATTAATTTTTGATCCCCTTTAAAGGTTTATTTTGAAAGGTAAATGGTACCAGAGCCTTAAAATCATTCATTATGCATTAATCACTCCATTAGTTCAACAAACGTACATGCAGTCTTTCCTTAGCTTTTGGCAACACGTTTGACGCTGGAACCACAAAGGTAACTGAGAAGGCCCTGCCCTCTAGGAGCTCCAGTCTCCAGGGCCAAGAGGAAGATGTGTATGAATAATTGTAAAACAGAGAGAGAAATGCCAAAAGAGCACAACTAGGGAAGGCTAAGGGAGCTGGAGGGGCTCACTGTGCTGGCAGGTGGGTGGGATTAGGGGCAGGTCCCACAGAGGAGGGGGCACTCCAGCTAGCTTTGAAGAACAAGATGTCAATGTTACAAAATTCTGTCTGCCAGGAACACATGGAATGTGGTGCCAAAGAGGGATTATTAAGATTTTCACTGTACATTTTTGGCCATGGGATGCACTATATTAAATTAGTGTTTTGAAGCTGCAGCTGTTTTCCAGTGGTATATTCTGGATGAATTAAAAAGGGAAGAGATAACCACAGAAGGGCTCTCTTCTCTAATTTTTTTACACTGTTTCTATTTCACCTGACAACTTGTTCCGGTAAAATGCCATTGGCTGACAAAACCACGCTAACTGCCTCTAACTGTACTTTCCCATGATGAGCTCCCGTGGCTAACGTATCTGCTTTTTTCCCCAAAGGCGAGACTTAGTCGGGGTGGTGGAACCCTTGCCCCATGATGAAACATACTGTGACCCTGCATCTCTGTTCCATGTTGCTAATGATTACTCATTCATCAGGTAAATGACAGTTGTCTTTTCACTGTTTAACCCCCAGGGTTTGTGGACAGCTGTGCTAATGGCAAAGAAATAGGGATCTATGAAGTAATGACTGTAATTTCTCTTTCTCTTTCTACCCTCCTTCCCCCTACAACCTCAAAACAGATCATCAATTTTAATTCAGTTTAACTCAACACGATTTATTGGGTCCAATAAAACTTACGTGAGATCTTTTCTCTACCATGAAGGAATTTATAGACTCCTTGGGGGGAATAAAATTATCTTTGTCTTCTTGTTACTGGCAGTGCTCAGAGTGATGGTAATAGAGTATTTTTAACTTGAAGTCCAAAAACCTATGTTCTTCATCTATTAGCCCCAGATCTTGAGTTTGCTGAACCTCAGTTTCTTTATTTGGAAGGTGGAAATAACATTGTTGGCCTGCCATAGGGATCAATTGGCATTATTTATATGAAAGGGCCATAAATATGGAAAGCACAATACAAATGTGAACTAACATTTAACAAAGTAATACTGCCTTTTTAATCAGCTGATACATAAATACAAGTAGGTTATGATGAGTCTGCAGGATTCATATTTGGGTCTTTCTGGAGAAAGAGGTTGGACTAGTATCTCTTTGGTTACTAGAGCCTCAGCATTTAAACATATGCCCCAATCTGTGAGTCTAGCACAGTAACCAAACACGGGACTGCTCTCTTGTTTGTCTACTTTACAGATACTATACAAGGACCATTTATCAATTCCAGTTTCAAGAAGCCCTTTGTCAAATAGCTAAACATGAAGGTCCCCTACACAAATGTGATATCTCCAATTCCAGTGAAGCCGGACAGACGCTGCTGTAAGAAATACTTCAAGGGGCACCTGGGTGGCTCAGTTGGTTGAGCGTCCCACTCGGTTTTGGCTCGGGTTGTGATCTCAGGGTAGTGGGTTGAGCCCCGCTTCGGGCTCAAGTTCAACAGGGAGTCTGCTTAAAGATTCTCTCCCTCTGCCCCTCCTCCCACTCTCTCTCTCTCAGATAAATAGGTGAATCTTAAAAAAAAATTTTTTTTTCAAAAAAGAAATATTTCAAAGATGTTGAATATTTCAAAATGTTGAACCTCTCCTGCTATCCAATATTACTCATTTCCATGCCTAGATTTCCTTGTTCTAAAA